GGGGGGAGGGGGGGCAGGCGATCAGGGCTGGGTGTTCTATGGAAACAACGTGACCGGTGTTGGTGAAAACTCCGTGAATGGGTGAACGGAAGGGAGGGAGGGGAGGTGAGGTGGGGTGAATGAAAGGAAGAGGGGTGGAGGGAGAGTGGGAAGCGGACACACACCAAATAACAAGCCATCGAGAGAAAGAAGCAGGGCCGGTAATGCGAAGATAGCAACGATTAGGAATCAAGGGAGGGGGGTACTCCTATGTTTTGCATGCCTTAGCGGTTAGACCATTGACCACGCGTCCTCGAGAGGACGGAGCATTGTTCCCACAGGACCGATCACCGATGGCCAATCGTCCCTTCCTACTTTGTCAAAGGTGCCTAAAAAATGTCTTCACTAGTCTGTCTATCCTAACGATATCCCTTCCCGCCTTTTCAAACCACTTCCTACTCCCCAGTACAGCTACCGTCCTCTCCTCTCTATTCCATGCCTCAAACATCTCCCTGTACGTCCCTTGTATTTTTCCCAGCTCAGTCATGTACACTTCCCTCTCCTCTTCGTACCACGGACATTCCGCGATAACATGAACACGGTCTTCGCATTCGAAGCCGCAATCACATTTGAACTTGTCGTCTTCGTCGTCTACCGTCCTATGTCTTCGTCGACGTTCTCAAAGGCCCATGTCCCCGGTCCTGAATTTGACCTTAAGCTTTGTCCCTGCATCCATTGGTCCATGTAGGTAATCCTTGAACCCTATTCCTTCTTTCAACATTCCGTACACTTCTAGACCCTCCTTACCCTTGGTTTCTTTCCTTAGATTCTGTTCTTCTCTCTCGGCACAAGCAACATATATCTTCTCCTTGAACCCCTGTGGACCCTCCGTTTCCAGCGTTTCATCTTCGTCGATGTCTAACCCCTTCCATACGTCCTCTACAACCTTGACCCATTCCGTGGGTTGTCTACCCCTCTTTTTGTTTGCCCACTTCGCCTCCCATACTATTCTCGGCAACCTCTCCTCTCCCATCCCGCACATGCGATACTACCATGTCAGCTTCCTTGCGTCTCTTCCCGACCGTAGGGATTGGATCCCCAATTCTGCCCTGACGGCTGCATTACTTGTGCGCTTGGAGCATCCTAGGATGATTTTCGCTGCTTTCATCTGCGCCGCCTCGAGTTCTTTCACTACCTTCTTACTTCCTTCCCATACTTCTCCGGCGGACTCTAGCGGCGGTACGATTACGCTCTTCAAAACCGTCAATTTGATGCGTGTATCGAGGTGCGGGTTTGCGAGTATTGGGTGCAGCTTCCCCTGCTCGTGCCTTGCCCTTTTCCGCTACCTTGGACATGTGTGCATTCCACGAGCAGTCTTTTGCGATCTCTACTCCGAGGTATGTGTACTGGTCCACTACTGCAATCTCCTCGATCCCCCACTTCCATCTATGTTCTACTGGTTCCTCCCTGACCTCGTTGCATACCATGACGGCACTCTTCTTAACGTTGGCAGACAATCTCCATTTATCAGTAAACTTCTTCGCCGCGTCAATTTGTAGTTGCAGTCCCTCAGGGGTGTCCGACATACCAACAAAATCATTCGCAAACAGCATTCCTGACACCGAAGTTTCCGTGTCCCCTACTTTTACTCCCTTCCGGACTGCCTCTACGACTTCCAACAGATCGTTGATGAACACCTGGAACAATGTCGGGGAAGGCGTGCAACCTTGTGGGACCCCCTGCTCAATGTCGAAGAATTTAGACAGTTCTCCGTCTAGCATGACCGCAAGGGGGGGGGGGGGGGGGGGGCCCCAAAAAAAGGGGGTAAATTCCGGGGGAAAATCCCCACCAAAAAAAAATCGGAAAAGAGTTTGGGGGGGGCGGGCCACAAAATTTTTTTAAGTGGCCCCCCAAAAACCCTTTCCAAACCCCCCCCCCAACACCATTTAAAAAAAACACCCAAGGGTTTTCTTTCAAGTAAACCACCAAAACTTGGGGTTTTTAAACCCCCCCCAAACCCCCTTTTTAAGGGAATTGGTTTGAGCCCCATACCCA